TTATAATTAGTATAAATTACTTGTTTTATGATAAATAAATGTTTTGAAATAGAAATTTATTATTTACTTCAATTTCGATATTTTAATAAATAATATATTAATTTTAATTAAACGGTAAATACTGAAGAGCTATCAAAATTTTTAACATATAATAAATAAGATTTATAGGATTAATTAAGGAATTTTACAAAATATTTCTAAAATAATATTCTTACCTGATTTTTCAGCAAGCATTTTAAAATATTCGATCCCCTTTTCACCGTAGTCACCTTCAGAAGCAACTGTAGAAACGTAATTCCAACCAAGTTTCCTAACTATATCCACCATTGCTTGAGCTTGAAAATTATCAGGTGGAACCACACGTGAAAAATACCCGAATCTCGTTTTATCGCTCAATTCTGTACTAGTTGAAGCGTAACTGATTTGAGGAATCTATAAAAAGAAAAGAAAAATATATTTATAAAATAAATAATCGTTTCGTATAGCATTAAATACACATTTTTCTGAGATTTTATTAGGGCATACAGAATAAATTAATTATTTAAATTATTTTTCTATTTATATTAGTTTGATACACATCTTTAGAATGAAAAAGAGAGTTTAAAAACATCTCAAAGTGTTTACTATGTAAATTATAAATTTAGATTAAAATTTACATAATGTAATTTAACAGAAATGTTTTTCATTCCTACAGAAATTTTCTCTTTCAAATTGATTTATTTTAAATATAAAAGCTTGTAAATTATCTTAATGCTTTAAAATCTTATAATTCAGATAAAAAAAAACAAAAGTTAGAAAAATGCGATGTAATGTACTCTACGACTATTAAGATTTTTGCTAAATATCTGCGATACTTGATTGATAAATCACTCTATTTTATTTTAGAATGCTTTCGAATTCTTTCAATGTTCAGAAGATTGATGACATACACTTCGTGATTATCGCATCGTTACTACCGTAAAAAAAAGTTTTATCGGATTTTTCATACTAGATAAAGAAGTTTACATTTCTACTTAATCACGACCAATAAATTGCTCATTCTATAGATTAAGTAAAGCATCTATAGTAAAGTATTTTCATTATTTCTGTTTTTAGTAAATAATCTGAGAATTTAATTTTTAGATGGAAGCTACAGGATTAAGTTATAAGTTAAGAGAAAACTATCTCTTCCAATATTCATTGAAAAAAAATTAAATTTGTAATTATATACTGTAAAACAAGCATATATTCAATTCATTATTAACTCTATGATGAATTTATAACTAAGTCTTTTACATTGAAATTTTACTACGTGGATGGGATATTATTCTGATAGACTATTCATTTATCTCAATAAGAATAAGAAATTCAAATGAAATAAAATGATTGCATAGAAAGCGTGAAAGGTTATAATATTTGCTTTCTGATCAGTTATGACAAATTTAGTGCTACGTAGAACTTCAAAACAACATATTATTATGCAATTTTTCTATAGAATAATTATTTTGGATCCTTTCTAATATGTTAATACTAGTTGGGCTGCAATTTGAAAATTTCAGACACATACATTCCCACTGTCGTTCGTTTGTTGTCCTTCGTTAATCTCGAGAACGAAATTAGATAGATGACTGGCATGACTCGATTGTTATCAGGAGAAGTATGATGTACAGGAGCAAGACACTACTAAAAATCGAGACCAATACGGAAAGCTTAGGGACTGGAGACCCTGATTATCGGGCTAGACCAGAAGTCAAATGAATTTTTTTTTATTAAAAGATGAATAAAAGTTGCAACTTGGCATTGTGACAATGCCACAATAAATAATTGTTCGTTATATATCTTTTCTCAATAGAAAACATCACAATTCATCACCTATTTTCCTGTTGTTCTTTATTTTTGGATACTGCGTTTATTAATTTGACACACTCATCTTTCACATTTTTTATATATTTTATTTAGTTTTAATATGATATCAACAATCGAATAGGAAATCCTGATCAAATGCAAAAATAAATAGATATATTTCATTTTTTGTGGCAAAATGAAAATGTTTATTCGTATTCTCACGTTTGATACATATTTTTTTATTTTATATCAATAAAGATTATAAAATAATTTAAAATTGCATTGTTTTCAGGTGATGATTTGTGGAAAAGTTTTATTGAATTTTTCTAGAAAGCTTGATGTTTAATTATCAATTTTATCTACATTATAACCTGTAAGATTTCTGAAAATTTTATATATGTGTTTGTGTGTAACTGATAATGAACTTCTTATAATTCTAGTATTAAAGAATGTTCAGCTCAGCATAAATAACCGAAACATTTCATAATGTTAATATTATTAAAAGTCTAAATTAATATAGTTTCTCAATAAATATATAAGTAAATCTAGAAAATATCTTCCTGCCGACGAAGAGATCTGAAATTGAATAATCTTATGTTTAAGGAAAATCACGATAAATCAGGATTCTCGAGATGAAAATTCATGTAAATCCAGCGGGAATTCTACTAACGGAAAATCTCACGAATTCATTGGAAATTCTATTCATGAAAAATGTCGAGAATCTTGGATTCTTGTGATTTTTCAAAAGTACTTTTTCCAATTCTCGCTGATACTGACTGCACTATTGTAGTAAGGTTTGTATTTGATGATGCCGATGATATGGTCCAGTGCTCTGATTTCTCCAATTAAAGCTCTAATCCAATCCCAATCTTCACAGTTTAAAATTTTTATTGTTCTGTTAAGTTTTTCAATCGTTAAAGATTGAAAAGTAGGGTTTCTCATTTCCCGGGAAATTTGCCTCCAGCGGGATTACGGGAAAAATAATTTCTTTTCCCGGGAAATTCCGGGATGAGATAGTAAAATAGAATTTTATATAAATAAAAAAGATCATACAGGAATATCATAAATTTGAATAATTTAATTTATTTTCTAGTAAGTAACTAAAAGTGTAGGGCCAATCTCACCCATACGGACACGTTAGGCTCAATTAATTTATGTTCTCC